CGTAGTTACCCCATCCCTGCGTACACGTGGGGGTAGACATTCCGCAGGGTCTGGATCTAACCAGGGCAGGTGAACTCAGGTTGCGGACCCCGAGAGTCACCCTCGGTCTGCAGCGGCCGCGTCAGTACGGCGTGACGTCCGGAGGATGGCAGGTCGGTGCCGGCAAGAGCCCAGGGCGGGGTCATTCGGTTCATCGGATAAAAGTGATGCGGGATGCGGTCGCCGACACAGCATGAACCTTCCCGGTCCCGAAGATGAATTCCAGGCTCTTGTTAGGTTCCCGGAGGCCTTTTATTCCCCGACCAGCGCAGGTGTTAAGACCTGTATGTGGCTTGGTTCGGAAGCCGATGGGGCTGGGTGCCATCCAAGAGGCTTTCTCCCGGGTAAAAATGCTGGTGAAACAGGTACAGGCCCCGGGGGTGTGAATGGTGAATTCCGTGTCAGTTCCTGCCCAGGAGGACGGGGCTGGGGCTTGTGGCAACAGAAGGAAATCGGTTCGTTATTCGCACAAGTTTGAGGACAATCTGTTCTTGTGACGTGACGTCATGGGAAACACCGGCTGTTACCACCAAGGCTTTGACTGGAAAGTGTAGTTGAGACCGAGGCGCCCACACGGCTTTAGGGAGCGAGGGTTGACTTTACAGACCCAACAGAGCCCTTGGAAGACACTGGCCTGGTACCTTGCTTCCGGGGTTCCCGGGAGCCTGACCAGGTGAATGAGGGAGGTCGTTGCCCGACAGGCTCAGGAACCTCGGCAGGTCTCGGGGAACTCAGGAAGGGAGGGAACTAACTCCAAGCTGCAGACGGCGTCGCAGACGAGTCTGCTGGCGGGTGAGCATCTGGTGGGGCTCTTGGCCTTGAACGGCTGTTAAAGGCTCCATCTGAAATTCCTTAGGAGAAGCGTGCCCGGGGGCGGGGGGCTCGGGCGGTTAAGCGGAGGACTTTGGCTCGGGTCATGATCTCAGGGTGAGTTTGAGCCCCGCGCCAGGCTCTCTGCTGTCAGCACAGGGTCCGCTGCAGATCCTCTGTCTCTCCCTGCACCTCCCCTTTTCACTCGCCCCCCAAAATGAAGCCATTACAGAAACTTTTAACTGAAGTTCTTTAGGAGGAGCCCCAGCAGAGTTAAGGGAGCCTAGACCACCCGTCGCTGTTCTTGCCGCACTTATGTGAAGATTAGGCCGAGTTTGGGAGGACTGGACTGTTCGACCTGTGCTAGAAAGGAGGGTGAACTAGCTCGGGGGGTGGGGGGGGGCAGAACACGGCCTCGGCAGCACCCCTGGATGCCGGCCCCGGAAGTTCAGTGCTCTGCTCGCCTGCAGAACCACTCTGGTGTCCCCGTGGCCTGCGTTTGGCCCGGCTGCTTGCACGCTTCGCGCCGACTTTGAACCCCCCCCCCCCCCCCCCGCAGGGCCACCTCCCGGGAGGAGGCCACCGTTACCCGGCCTCCCCTTGCTATGAAACGTGCAAGGAGACCGAGCCTGTGCCTGGGGCTTCCAGAATCATGGCTCTCTGAGCACGGGGGTGTCTGAGGCCGGGTGCGGGGTGCACAGGCCCCTATGCGGCAGGAAGGCCGGGGCAGTCGTCCCCTCGCCAGTGAGGAGTGGAGAAAAGCTGGGGCGGGGCCGGCTCGTCACCAGCGGCCACTGCGTTGCTGAGGGCAGAGCCCACAGCCGTGTGGTCTGCACGACCCTGGCCGCCGTCACTGGCCTCGAAGTGCCCGCGGCAGGGCGAGCCCCCCACGTGGCACCGAAGCGCACGAGGACCCCGCTAGGTGCGCCGAGAGGGACTCCTGCCGGCACGGCCGGGTGGGCTCGTGTGACCGACCTCGGGCTGTGGAGTCCCCGGGACGAACTCCCTCCCTCCGCCCGCCCCCCTCCTGTCCTCCCGCCGGCCGCGACCTCCCCACCGGGCCCCCCGCGGGGAGTTACCCCAGTAAGTGGCTGGCTTTGCCATTTGCTATGAAGGTAGGAGGACACCTTACCGACCCTCCCCCACCTAAAGGGACCATGGGGGCCCCGGGGGCCTTTTTAGGATGGAAAAAACACGGCCGGTTTTGTCGGCCCCGGAGAGGGGGGCAGGCAGAGGAAACGCTGATGCGGGGCAAGGGGAGGCGCGAGGACAGCACATCCTCGAAGGAGCGGTGTGTCCGGCACGCGGGTGGGCGGGAGCAGGTGTGGCAGCAGACGCAGCAGCAGGGAGTCCGGGGACCCCAGTGATGGGGGAGGGGGCTGCACGTGGCCGTGGCCGACCCCAGGCTGCTGGAGAAGCAGGGCAGCAGCGGCAGGGCCGGCGGGGGTGGGGGGGGAGGGGGGCAGGCACCGGGCCCTCCAGGAGGGGCAGGGTGCAGACCGGGGACACGCAGCGTTGACCGCGGGTCAGTGTGTCAGCGAGGCGGGTCGTGGGCTTGCCTGGGACAGACAAGTAGGGAATGCTCGGAACGGGTGTTTCTGCCACGTGTTGAAGTGGAGGGGCCCGAGGTCCCCACCTGGCCCGCTCCACCCAGGCGGACCAGAGGGGGGACAGACCCCACAGCACAGCCCCGGCCGTTCCCGTGGGTGCCGTCCCTTCGGCATCATGCACACGTGTGCTCCTGGACACGGCACGGGAGCCAGGCTCAACCTATCCTGATGTGCATCCCTTAGGTTCCCAGAGGTGTAGACGGCCAGGGTTTTTGCCAGCACTACTGTGGAAAAAGGGGGTGAGGTGGACACCTAAACCTAGACCCTCTGGCCCTCTCTGTCCCCCCAGGAGGCCCATCAACACCAGCACAGAAGAAAGCAGACAAGACACCAGAGGGCCCCCCCCCCCCATATCCTCTTGTCGACTAGGCTCCAGACGCCTTCTCAACTGGCACTGGCCCAAGTCCCCAGACGAAGCCCTGGGATGTATCTACGGGACAGTTCACCTGGCAGAGGTTCTGGGCCTAGGTGCGGCGCGGACCCAGACCAGGCGAATGGGTGACATTTAACGTTCAATCTGGGAACCACTGCCCGGGACGAGTGAACAAGCCAAGCCAGAACCCTTTTGGCCGGAACGAATTTGAGCAGATGTTCCGTCCGTGGCGGCAAAATCTTCGGGCTCAGGTGAGCGTCTCTTGGCCACTGAAACTTCTCTAGATTGAAATCCTGAAGAATCGGTAAAGACCTGAAACCTTTAAGAGATCGTGTAAAAGCTGCTACGGATGACGCTTTGATGACTTAACAGTTACTGGCCAGCACTACAAATCCACAGACAAATACCCCAAACCAATCTGTCACAGCTGCAGGGTTAGCCGTCCTCACCCACCTTTGAACCGGGACGGCCTCTAAAGCAACTTCTGCAACGGCATCTGGTGTCCGGCAGCTTTCTGAACGCTCGCAAGGCCCTGTTCCTTTCCCTCTCATGTTCACAGGGTTAAGGAAGTAGGTTAAGGAACCTGGGCTAATAGCCAAGATCAGTGTTAACAACAGTTATTAGCTACAACTAAAAGGAAAATAAAATGGTTTTCATTCATGTTAATAAGGCATTTATTGGAAAAGACAAGTATAACATGCTCAGACGAGTTTATGTATGATCGCTAACATTCACACCCGTTACGTTTACAAGCACCATTTAAAAGTGAATTCCGTTCATTAACTGCAGAATTTCCTGAAATTCCTACAGGTACGTAAACGTGAACAGCTACGATTATGAACTCAACAACACCCTTCTTGGTCTGCACTTCTGAGCTACGGCTCCCATTCTGGTGTTACAAACTCGGCAGATGGCAGCCGTAGACCCTCAAGTCAAGTGATGCGGATTTCGGTGTTTGTTTTGTTTTGTTAACATTTATTTATTTTTGAGAGAGAGAGAGAGACAGAGCATGAACGGGGCAGAGAGAGAGGGAGACACAGAATCGGAAACAGGCTCCAGGCTCTGAGCCATCAGCACAGAGCCCGACGCGGGGCTCCAACTCATGGACCTTCGCTTTTGTAAATGGATCACAGCCCTTTGACGGAGTGAACTCTCCCCCATTTAAAAAAAAATACAGTAAATGAATGAAAATGCAGATGCTTTCAGTAAAAACAAACTGTTCCCGAACAGGGTAACAATCCAATTTTATTCTATAACAAGCAGAATAACGTCTCAGTTGCAAAACAACTCATCATGTTAATATAGATTACTGACCTCTTAAGAGTCTTAAAATGTTTCTTTGGACAGAAATTTAAAACTTTTCAACCATCTTCTAACCCCTATACCACCTAGCCCCAAAATGAAATAAAAAATTAGCCTACTTCTCCACAGAGTCTCATACAGTTCCCACACCTTGTACAGGTTATTTAATGGCAGCTTTCATCTCTAAAAGAGATCAGATACCCAAATAAAACCCCACCTTACAGTTCTAGTGAGCTTCCTTAAATGAAAATATTTCAAAAAGAAGATAATTAACGTAAGGCTTACAAAGAAGGACTTGCTCACTCCTGAAAGTACTTTTGAGTAAATCCCCACTTTTCAAATAGTCTAAAAGTCTGTTTATAATACAAAGCACCTTATCCATATCTTTCTCCAAAACAAAAATCCTCACACTGTAGCTGAGGAAACAAACAAGAGAAAATATAAAATTTGAATTTTTACCTATAAGCCAGTCAAGTAGCAATGCTAGAAATAAGACTCCAGACCTAATTCCTTCCCCAAGTTTCATCTAGAAAGATAACAGCTAAAAGAAAGAAAAGGCTTAAGCCCGACGTTACATTCCCAACACAGAAACCGCTGTGTGTCGTCCTCTGGTGGAGGTCAGAGGTAGTACAGGCGGTTGGACAGTGACAGGTTGGGCTCCCTGTGAATGCTCTGGCCCACGAGGAAAGCCAGTTTGTGGGCGTACTGACAAGGAGCCGGGACCCGGATGACGCCCTTTAGAGGAAGAAACACAGGGCCTGTTACTCTAAATCTGGTGTGCATGACACATGTCAGTGTTAACCATAAAAGGCCTTTAAAAACCCAGCAAACTGCCTTCCGAGTCTCGCTGAAGTGAACGAACACACTTACCGGCCAGTTGTAATAGACGTGACACAGCTTGTACGTCAGCCTCTGTATGTGGTCCGGCTTCAGGCCGCTGTTGTCGTAGATGACATTGTAGTGTGTGGGCGAGACGCTGCCGCTTCTCACCGCCTGGCTCACGATAAAAAAGTCATACCTGCAAGGACGGCAGAAAAACCACACGGACGTGAGGCGAACGAGAGCTGAAGGGGACGGCGAAGGGATCCCGCGCACTGACGTGACCTCCTCGTTCAAGACGGAGCGCGCCTCCTGAAGTCAGAGACTGCGGTTCGCGGACCATCTCGGAGTGCTTATGTGCGAAGGATGTTCAAGCTGCCACTACTGCGTGTATCTGAGGTCTCGGTCACGGACGTCTCGGGACCTTCGGCACCCGGCGGGGCTGCTTCCATGGCGGTGAACACGGGAGCTCAGGGGAGGACGGAGCCGTAACACGGGCCCGGAGAGGCAGCGATGGTGGGGGTGAGTGGAGGAGGTCTCGTTTCGGGCTCTGCGGTTTCCAAAATCTGCTTTCACCCCAGGACCTTTCCCCCTCTTGCTGTTCCCAGTGCTACTTGACAAAAATACACTTAATGTTACTCGTCAAGGATAAAAAACAAATTTTAGACTAGAGCGTCCGAGGACATAAGCACAATTCGTTCAGGACCCAAACGGTAAAGCAAAACCAAGGAGTGCAGCATAAAGGGACAAGACGGACAACAAAACATCAGTCCAGAGAGGCTGTTACCGGACTTGAAGTGGATTACGTGTGCAACTTGCTAGGTCCGCTGAAAACTACAGAAATTATAAAAATCGGAACTGATCTGTAACACTGTAGTGTTTCAGAAGAATGAGGGTTTCAGTGACAAATAACCTGCCCCAAACAACAGAGAATTCACACCAGAGCTGGAGTCAAAATCTCAGTTCCCAACACAGGCAAGTCACCGTCCAAAGTGCTGGCAGCCGACACCGACTCTGGTCTAGTCCTTAAAAGTGGACCTCTCCAGGGGCGCCTGGGGGGCTCAGTCGGTTGAGCATCTGACTCTCGATTTCAGCTCAGGTCGTGATCTCGCAGTTCGTGAGCTCAAGCCCCAGGTTGGGCTCTATGCTGACGGTGCAGAGCCTGCTTGGGATTCTTCCCTCCCTTCCATCCTCTCTCTCAAAATAAACAGAAACGTTGTTAAAAGTGGACTTCTCCAGGTATGTCAATAGCATGATCAGCTAAGTTTTAAATAGCATCTAATAAAAGTAATGAAATGTTTTCATACTTCTTAACTCAACTTGGATTTTACCCAATTTGTTTACATCGGCTGTCTTCGGGTCCGTGTTACCCCCTGAGCTCTGGTTACCACAGCAGGAATACCTTTACTAGAAAGTACCATGGGGTCATTCTGACTGGCTAAGGGATCCTGCAGGAAAGGAACCTAAGTTAGTATCTTAGCTATTTTTTCTCAGCTGACCCCCCCGCCCCACCAGTAGTAGAATCCTACTGAAGCACTGCCACGATCCAAGGTCACACATTCATGGTCGCTTGACAGAACTGAAACCTGTATGATCGTTTATCCACACGAAGTTAGCAGAAGAAACCCTCCTGTACCGCAGTTTATACAGGAGCAGCACACTAACAGCTTTGCACCTAGGCCTGCACTTGATTCTGGTTAAATCTACCTTTGGAATTTAAATTTGGTTAAGTTTATTTTTGAGGGAGACAGAGCGAGTGGGGGAGAGGGAGAATCCCAAGCAGGCTCCACGCGGTCAGCACAGAGAGAGCCTAACGTGGGGCTGGAACTGACAAACCATGAGATCATGACCTGAGCCGAAACCAAGAGTCACTGCTTAACTGATGGAGCCACCCGGGCGCCCCAGATCTGCGTTTTGAAAAAGCGCCAATACGATGAAACAGAACAGTCCCAACAGCGTGCTTTCCCGAGGAGGGGCTAACCTGGGCCGAGGGAGGACCTCCCACTACCCACAGGACCTACGGGCCGGGCACCCAGCCGCACACAGGGCTTTCCCAGGGGCCAGCGGGCTTCAGCACTGGACAGCGGAACACTGTGCGCTAATCTCATTACCACGCGCCACTCAGGTCCTACTTACTAGCTTATTTTCCTACGGCAAAGTGTAGCCCAGGTTGCATAAAAATGTTACTCAGAAGCCACTTTTCTTACCTGTGCTTGTGTTTCAGATGAAACATTTTGACCTCTGGGTAATTAAAAGCATTACAGACCTAAAAATTTTTACTGAGAAAACAATCTGAAGACACAGATGTGAAAGAAAAGACAAAAGCAATCTACAGCAGCAGTTCTAACGTCTCTAGATCATTAGTGCCGCAGACAAGAACCCTCTTCCCCCAAAGAAAAACTGCACAGGAACCTGTTGACCATTTCAGACGCAAATAAATCGTAGGCTTTAGTAACACTATTGGATCAAAGTAATCGGGGACTTTAGGATTCATAAGAAATAGAAGAAAAAGTAACAGGCACATGGGTGGCTCAGTCGGTTAAGCATCTGACTCTTGATTTAGGCTCCGGTCCTGACCTTGTGGTTCAAGAGTTCCAGCCCCGTGTCAGGCTCTGTGCTGACTGTGGAGCCTGCTTGGATTCTCTCCCTCCCTCCCTCTCTGCCCCTCCCCTGCTCACTCACATGTGAGCTGCTCTCAAATGAATTAAAAAAAAAAAATAAGAAAAAGTAAACGAGTTAAAGTGGATAAAGCAGAAAACAATGTTCAACGAACACTACACAACTTACCACTCTGGTCTGGTAACTTCCACATCAATAACTGTTCCAGGAAGTGGGTTTTGAAGTCTTCCTCCAGACTGAGCAAAAAATCGGGCGTTCACTCGTTTTTTCACCACAATTACTGTTAGTCTTGGGCTTAAAACATGACGACGATGATGATGCAGATGCGGATGAATGTAACGACACCAAGTTAGCCACACTCTCAGTCAATCAACAACCCACTCATGTGGCTCTAACCAGAACCCCCCCCGACCCCCCCCCCCAGGGCAGGGCACCGATCCAGGGTGTGAGGGGACAGCGTGCATGTGCCCGGTGTCTAATAAACAGGTAAGCACATCATCTGCCTATCACAATGAAACACTAAATTTGGCACACAGTTCGGAGCCTCTTCTACGTGGAAAATAGGACCTCGAGTCTAAAATCCCTGCTAGGGGGGCTGGTGCGAGCAGTGTCCGAGTGCAGCCTAGCATTACCAGTTCACGAGGAATCGGGGGTCCCTGTCTCCGTCTCCCTCCCGGGGCCCAATCACCCCTCAGCCCACCCCACGGCAGCAGAGAATGTGCCCTCTGCGTCTCCCCCAGTGAGACTCTCTGCTTGGTTTTCCCGCACCAGGACTGAGTCCCTCTCCCCGAGCGTCCGGCTCTGCATCCGAGGAGGTGTGCTGGCCCCTAACCTGGCCCTGGATCCCCGCAGGGCAGCCCTTCAAGGGCAGCACGTGCGGCTTGACTACTTTCACACTTTCTCTACCACCTCCAAGGCCCACGTCAAATCCAGCGTTTGAAACACGGAATACGTGAACTGGTGCATGGAAGGCACTCGGGACCCTGCTGGCATGGGATGGACGTTTGATAAACAGGACAGTTATCGATGCCTCGGTTTCCCCTGTGCCCTTTTCCCAACCAGAGCACTGGCTCCTGAAGAGCCTCAGTACACTGGATTGCAAACTCTGGGATGCCACGGGCTTTACGTGCAGTGGGATCTGGAACGTTTGGCTTGGGAAGGGGGTCCAGAGTACACTGCTGGACAAATGGTCAAAGAGACCCCGAAATGGGAACTTCTGTTCCGTGGTAAACCTAATTTCACTCCTTCCTGGTAGCAGTAACTAAACAGACCAGGGGCAGGGAGGTGATGTCACTTCAATGAACAGAAGGTACTTTTAGAGACACCACCCTGCTGCCCAGTTACTGCGGCTCTGGATAGAACAAAGCCAGTCCCAGGAACCTAAGGCAGGTGGGTTCCAGCCCTCTGACATCACAGGAAGCGATTCAGCAAACGTCACAAAACAAAGTCGTAAGGATGAGGTGACATTTTGATTTCTTCTTCTGCCAAATATTCTAAGTCAGCTAATCCATTATGCATTTTTATAAAGTTAGCATCACCATTTCAATCAAAACACAAATACTGTGATTCTAAGAATAATTACGAATATTTACATCCAAACTGCATTTCTTCAAAGTGAGGAACGACTCTCGGGTATTACTTTACTTCACACACGAGTTCTCCACCACGTATGGAGTGCGTATCGGGTACCGTGTCAAGTACTCTCCTTTATTCCTTCTGACGACCCTGGCTGGTCGCCTCCCCATTTCCCAGATGCAGCAGGTGAAGCTGGGTGGAACCTGGCCCTGCTCCTGAGACACCCTGCGCTCGGTCACCTCTCCCCGCAGCCACCACGTCCTGGCACAACTCACAACGTGGCTCCAGTCCTGTGGCAGCTGGTCGGGCTCGTGCGGCCTCGGCGTGAAGTCCCCCCCCCCCCACCCCGGCAGCCACCCTGGGCACGACACCGCCCCGGGCAGGACCCGGTTCACCGACTCCCCTCACTCGGGCTCCGGGCTCCTCTTCGAGAGCAACTTCTGCTGCTCCTTCTGGAAGCCAAGCCCACAGGACTCGAAAGACTCCCAGCAGCAGAGCCCCAGGCCCCACATGGCCACAGGGTATGTCCCCAAATCCCAAACGACATGCAGCTCGAGGCTGTGAGATCAACTTGCACCGTTGCGTCTCCTCCTCACTTCCCGGAAATTTCCTTTCCCCTCAATGTGAGAAAAAGGCAGTGGGGCCAGAAGATGCTGAGGGGTAGAGCAGGGACCCGAAAAGGAGACCAGTAGGCAGCCACCTCTCCGCACCTTCCTCTGCCCCCCCCGCCCACCCCCCCAACTCTGTCCGTGCGGACGGAGCACTGAACTCAGAGAAACACATCCAGTGAGGCTTCCATTTCGAAGACCGAAAGCAAATACCGTTCTTTTAGTGAGAAAATGCAAGCATTAAGGTTTTTAAAGGAGACAGAAAAGAACGTTAACATCCACTTCCAAAATACCGGAAAACGCTTATTAGCATTTTAATCTGAAAAACCTCCCTGACTTGCTCTGAGAGCTTACTAATAAACTCACTCTAAGAAACGGGTGCCATCAACACCGAGAAGCTGGCCGAGGCCGACCCGGAAGTACCCTCCACCCCAGCGAAGCAAGCGGCTCCGGGTGCCCAGCCCACAGGTGCCCAGCGCCGCCACGAGCCCAGGTGCACTCAAGGGCTCTCCGACGCCCCCCTTTCTGCAACGATACCAACTGCTGGCCGAATGCACAAACAGGCCTCTCGGAATTTCTGGGGCTCCTTCAACACTGACTCCGCCGGCCGTCATTCTGCACCAGTGAGCCCCTGACACAACGGTCCCGGACGGACGTCAGCTTGCTCACCACCCGACAGACTAGCAAAACGTAACTTCTCCAAAGGGCCGTGTGGAGACGGCGCAGTCTCACTCCCGCGGGGGAGCGGAGGAAGGCAGAGAGCAGCACGGTCTGCAAGGGCACAGGCGGGGTGCTCGGGGAAGACCAGTGTGTCCCTCGCACGTGCGCGCCATCCCCCCGGACGGAGTAAGACATCAGTGCCAGTCGAGTTCACAAAGAAGCATTCGCTGTGTAAAGCAATCGAGAAAGAGTACACGAAGACTGTTGGGAATTTATTCTAATAACCGCTCCCGCAGATGCCTGCAGACGTCTCCGAATACTCAGATCCTGCGCCACGGTCCCAGGCGAGAAGGCCGAAGGCAGACCACTGGCAGAGGTGTCTTCACGCATCCTCCCTGAAGGAAGGGACCCTCCACACCTGCAGCCTCGCCCCCAGGGAAGGCTCCACGAGCACCTCCCGCCCCTTCCGCAATCTCACCCGCCCCCCCCCCCACACCTGAGGTTAAGGGCTCCCCTACCTTTCATCCTACCACACGCACCTCGAAGATAAAAAGCCGTGACTGTACAGACACAAAACGCTTTACGACACGCACGCTTACTTGTAGCCTCTCCCGACAGACTTGAGGCAGTCCAGGAACTGCGGCACTTCGTAGTTCACCAGGGTTTTGAGCTGGCCGTCGCCGACGCCGTCCCGGTACACGACGATCCGGCTGGGCATGTACTCGTTACAGCTGTTCCAAGCCCTCAGGGCAGCTGCGGGAAAGCCAGCACCGCGCCACGTAACCCTGGGGTCAGCTCTCGAAGGGCCACGTCAGGGACCGGGGTGAAAAGGCTACAGGAGACCAACCTTGGAGGCAGACCTTGAGACCGTCTACCAGCTCTTGTCCTCGATCTTGAAAGACGCAGCGAGAGAACCAGCTGTTGGGAGAAACACCGCGACCGGACCGCGGTGAGAACGCCCTTGCCTGCAGGCGGTTCCTTTCTGGCCACTGCTTCCCTCCCAGCAGCTCGTCTTTAGCCCCTTTAAAGAGGTCCCCTGGCACGTCCGGTGCTTTGGGAAACCCTGGACAGCAATGACAAGCCACTTCTAACGCTACAAACCAAGCTTTCTTTCGTTACAGATCAACACAATTCCGCTGCTGAGGCCAAAGCGAAATCGCAAGGAGGATACCCAGAGACACCTCCTCCCTCCCTCACACACACACACCCCCCTCTCACTCTGCTCATCAGGAGACATTTATTACAGATTTCACTCTCTTAAAAAGATAAAATACCTTAGAATATGCCGTTACTAAAGCTCCCACGTCAACATTCCCTCAATTTGCATCCTTTCCTATTCTTGGCAATGCTTAGTTCTAAGAAAAGCACTGAGAAGCAATCTCACTCCATCCAAACACAAGTGACTGGGTAAACTGAAGAAACGGGTTTTCCAAAATAAAGTCGACACCAAAACTTTAAGGTACGTTTCAGCAGGTCGATAAAAATTACGAGAGACCTTTTCAGAGATGGCCGCATTTAAGGAGATCCGCTCCCCACCCCCCACAGAAATCACCTATAAAACAGCCGGACATGTGATCTGACTAGTACAGATTAAGGGCCAGGGGACAAAGTAGAAAATGGCCAGGTAGCTGTTATTCTACTTCCCTGACTTTCTTGATTATCGAATTCAGAGAAGTCAATAGGTTCAAGAGAACCTCGCAGACCCCAGCAGTCGGCCCTGCACGCACACCTCTCCTGCGGTGTCCACAGCCAACCGCCCGTCACCTGACCGCACTGACCGGGTCATCCCTTCGTTGATGCTCGCAACAAATCCTGCAATCGACCTCCGTCCAGCTGTGGTGTCATGATAACAATCGATGCCAACGATCATCGCCAGCTTCAGCTGTAACAAAAACCCTGTGCTTTCAGATAAACGGAATACCAGCAGTATTTAAAAAGTCCATTTTTGGTAGACAAAGCATTTAAGCACCAATTATATCAATGAAACTTACGGGCATATCGACCCTCCAGAGCTCCCCTCCCATCTTGCAGTTCATCTGCAGGGCGATCTTGGTCGCAATGGCCATGACTGTCTGCTGCTTGCCCAGGGTCCGGGCTACCACACACTGACTTGGAGTAGGGCAATCTGTACACAAGTATTTTTTTATAGCATCGTATTTGTCTTTCCGATTACTTGACAACAGACAAACAACCTGAAAACCAAAAAACGTTCTCGTCACAGAGGATTAGGAAAGTGACGATCAGGTTCAGGGGAGAGAACAGAGAGAACCAAGCCCACCCGCCACGTCTCCACCACGAGCTGACCGGCGTGACGTCAGCTGATACGGTCTGCTCATTCCCTTCAACCCAGTGACAGACGCTCGCAGAGGAAAGAAACCACGTGGAGCAAACAAGTCAAAACTGAAGGCCAAGAAAACCTGAGAACCTACTTAAACACGCTCTATTGCCAGCCTGGAGTACTTTAGGGATAAAGAATAGGGCAAGATAAGTTAGTGGTAACCTACAGGTGCACAAAAAATTTTCGAGAGACAGAGAGAGCACAAGCGGGGGAGGGGCAGAGAGAGAAAGGAGGAGACACAGAACCCAAAGCAGGCCCCAGGCTCCGAGCTGTCAGCACAGAGCCCGACGCGGGGCTTGGACCCACGAACCGCAAGACCATGACCTGGGCCGAAGTCGGACATTTAACTGACTAAGCCACCCAGGCGCGCCATGGCTTTGAAACTTTTAAAGCTCTGGCCTGAGAACCTGATCACCCTATGAAATTTCTCAGGAAGTCCATGGACAATTCTGGGGACAAAATGGAGTGCCCAATCTAAATATGTCCCGGCCAGAAATGGGACGATGTTAGTCAAAGGGCACAAACTTGCAGTTATAAATTAAGTTCTGGGGATCTGGTGTACGGTGCAGGTGACCACAGGTGACAAGGCTGTGTTATGCACCTGAAAGGTACTACAGACCAGATCTTCAAAAAAACAAAACTGTAAGTGAGGTGACAGAGGAGAGAAATCGCCCTGTTGGGATGATCAAGTGATCACGCTGTGCACGTTATGCCTTAACCCTGTCGTGATAATCGTTTCTGCGACATATACGCGCGTCCAACAATCACACTGTACACCCTATGCTTTCAACTTATGCTGCTCTGTGTCCACCGTGTCTTAGAAACACTGGAAATAAAACCAATATCCTGCCCAATCTGAGTTTGTGTTCTAGAATTGAACGCAGATCTTTAACTCACTGTGTTTTCCTAATTTATAGTCCCCGATTCTTCTCTTTTCTCTAGTCCCCAACCAAATCACTTTGCTTTCCTAGGTGTCTCTGTTATTCCCGACAACGTAATAGTAATCTGCCTGCGGCACTTAAGTAGGAGATGAAGGGCTGGAAAAGGGAACGGATTAGTTGAAGCCAATTCACTTCTCAGGCTTGGAGCAACATACGTATGTTGTTTACCATCACACTGGTCTCTGCCACCACCCTAGCCGTACCTGTACGCATGCTCACCAACTAAGTACTGATTTTTACTTTTGTGCCTTTTCCCCACAAAATTTCCTACAATTAAAGCCTTTTTTCTTAACATAATTTACTGTCAAATTAGCTAACATACAGTGTGTACAGGGTGCTCTTGGTTTTGGGGGCAGATTCCCATGGTTCATGGCTTCCATACATCAGCCAGTGCTCCTCCCCACCGGTGCCCTCCTCGGTGCCCATCCCCCATTTCCCCCCTCCCCCACCCCCATCCACCCTCGGTTTATTCTTGGTGTTTAAGTGTCTCTTATGGTTTGCCTCCTTCCCTCTCTGTTTGTAACTATTTTTTCCTCTCCCCTCCCCCATGGTCTTCTGTTAAGTTTCTCAAGATCCACATATGAATGGATATTGGGCTCTCTCTGACTGACTTATCTCACTTAGCACAATACCCTCCATTTCCACCCATGTTGCTGCAAACGGCCAGATCTCATTCTTTCTCATTGCCAAGTAGGATTCCATTGTGTGTATAAACCACAATTTCTTTATCCATTCATCAGTTGATGGACATTTGGGCTCTTTCCATAATTTGGCTATTGTTGAAAGTGCTGCTATAAACATTGGGGTACATGTGCCCCTATGAATCAGCATTCCTGTATCCTTTGGATAAATTCTTAGTAGTGCTATTGCTGGGTCATAGGGTAATTATATTTTTAATTTTTTGAGGAACCTCTACACTGTTTTCCAGGGCAGCTGCACCAGTTTGCATTCCCACCAGCAGTGCAAGAGGGTTCCCATTTCTCCACATCCTCACCAGCATCTGTTGTTTCCGGAGTTGTTAATTGTGGCCATTCTAACCGGTGTGGGTTGCTATCTCAGTGTGGTTTTGATTTGCATTTCCCTGATGATGAGTAACACTGAGCATCTTTTCATGTGTCTGTTGGCCATCTGGATGTCTTCTTTGAAAAGTGTCCGTTCATGTCTTCTGCCCATTTCTTCACTGGATTATTTGTTTCACGGGTGTTGAGTTTGGTTAAGTTCTTTACCAATTTTGGAGACTAACCCTTTATCCGGTATGTCATTTGCAAATACCTTTTTCCATTCTGTTGGTTGCCTTTTTAGTTTTGTTGACTGTTTCCTCTGCAGCGCAGAAGCTTTTAGTCTTGATGAGGTCCCAATAGTTCATTTTTGCTTTTGTTTCCCTTGCCTCTGGAGACATGCTGAGTAAGAAGTTGCCGTGGTCCAGGTCGAAGAGGTTTTTGCCTACTTTCTCCAACGGTAGAAAGGATTTTGATGGCTCCCTGTCACATGTTTAGGTCTTTCATCCATTTTGAGTTTATTTTTGTGGATGGTGTAAGAGAGTGGTCCAGGGTCATTTTTCTGCATGTTGCTGTCCAGTACTCCCAGCACCATCTGCTGAAGAGATGGTCTTTTTCCCACTGGATGCTCTTTCCTGCTTTGTCAGTGATCCAAGAACCATAAAATACCTAGGAGTAAACCTAACGAAAAGATGTAAAAGGTCTGCGTGCTGAAAACTTATAAAGGAAATTGAAGAAGACACAAAGAAACAAGAAGACATTCCATGCTCAGGGACTGGAAAAAGAAGTATTGTTAAAATGCCAATACCACCTCAAGTAATCTACACATCCAATGCAATCCCAATCCAAATTGCACCAGCATTCTTCTCAAATTTCTTAGAGCCACAAAAGACCCCGAAGAGCCAAAGTAATACTGAAGAAGAAAACCAAAGCGGGAGGCATCACAATCCCAGACTTCAGCCTCTACTACAAAGCTGTCATCGTCAAGACAATATGGCACTGGCACAAGAAGAGGCACACAGACCAATGGGATAGAACAGGGAACCCAGAGCAGGACCCATACAGTTAAAGCCTTCGAATCCAAATACATTCGAGATGGCTCTGTTCCCCCGGCCCTTCCTTGCGCACAGTCACGCCAGCATCACCAGGGCCACTTCATGAAGGTGAGACCTCTGTCGTGTGGCTACTTTATGACCCTAACTATGACATTTCAAACTCAAACACTAAGATTTACCAATGCCGTTTTTGAAACCAGTCACTCCGGGACACCCACCTACATATCTGCGTGCTACTTACTATCTGGGTATCTGATGTGACCTTCTGCTGTAGGACTCTCAGGTAAGCTTCAGTTCTGTCATCCACTTCAATCCTGGAATGGAAACCCGGTATCCAACATTCAGAAAAAGCAATGAGAAACGTGCCAACATCAACAGTTTCCTATAGATTATAACATACGACACGTTCCGTACGAGATCCGAAATAAACCGCCGAGAGTGGTCATTCAGGCAAAGGTCGTTCTAACACAAACAGCAGAGATAATTTGAGAGGAGCCACTGCCTGCTCTCCCGCCCCTTCTTTGTTACTCAAATACAGTTCCGCATCCACGGTCTGTATGGAGCAGATCTTTAAACTCCCGTCACCTGGAACGTTTCCAACACTTTCATCGCTTTTGCGTTCCCACACCCTCCAAATGACTACTCATCAGTTTTTCAGAGTAGAAATGACTTGATAGACTTACATTATTGCTTTTTTCATTTGTATGCCCATGGCTGGTGTAACTTTAAACAGATTCTGTATCAACGAATTGGCCGCTTCGTAATTCCTTCGAGTATAGATCAGCAGCCAGTTATCCAGTGGCTTCACGCTAATTAACGGTGCACCTCTGGTTTCTTTTGACCAATCTGCAAACTGTGGATTGTAATCGAACTACAAGAAAGTTCAGAGACACTGTGAACTCCACGGTCTGCTCTCGGTGACAAAGCCAACAGGTCTGTAATAATTCTTCTCGTGGCATATCCCGAACCTTACAGAACTTCTTGTACTTTCAACTGTGGTGACAGACAGAATGGCCTCGGTGGAGGAGAAAGGGACACGGACGTATCCACAGACGACGGGGTCCTGTCCCACCAGGCACTCCCCGCCCCGCCGCCTCCCGTACCCGCCTTCCTCTGCTGAGATACCGCAAGGACGCGAGGTACTTCCCTTGTGATAAAGACCCAAGAGAAACAAGGCTGAGACGGGAGCAACCGGCTGACGTGTCAGTACCAAAAGTGACGGTGACCACGTCTGACAGCAAGACAGAGGGCTCACAGGCCAGAAGCTCGGTGACCTGGTGCTACTTTCCCCCTAGAGGAAAACCACCCAGTGCTTTCTGCACGTCCTCCCCACCTCCCGACAACCTTTATGTGGGGGTGGATGCTTTTATCATTTCCACGGGGGTAATAAAAACACCCGCTGGTAAAACACAAAACTACTTCATCGGGCTGTTATTCGCAGAACATTTGCGAGGTGGAAGGGCATCGTTTTCTATAAAAGGGCTTTTCAAGGTCTAGCACTCGCGGGTTTCCATGACACACCAGAATGTTTTCAGAATGCTTGCTCCCCTTTCCTGAGCATAAAGCATAAAAGGCATCGCAACACTTAACATGTTTCTCTACAAACAAGTCATCCAGGCGAAGACGAGGCCAAAGAGACTGGAAGTTTCCTGGATAAAAAATCACTTCAGCGGCAGACGTCACGCCAACCCAACACCTTAGCTCAACGACTTGTGTCACGAGGAAAAGTAAAGCCGGCTTTCAGCGAAGCCTCACCGATGACCCAGCCCCAGGCTCCCACAGGCCCACCTCCTTGCTCCTGGGAGGCGGTGGGGCGGGGGGAGGGGCGGGGGGAGGGGCGAGGGGAGGGGCGAGGGGAGGGGAGGGGAGGAGTGGGCACAGCAGCAGACTGGCGTGGGACTTTATCACGAGTCACACCCGAATCTGACGTGATTGACAACTTAAGGAACTGCCTTACTGTTTTTCCGCCTTGGTGAATCTTTTCTGCTTGCAAAATTCTTCCTGAGAAGGACAGTAAGTTGGAGTCAAAGCTCAAACCCCAGTCTCGAAGCTCCCTCTGAACGTTATCATCTCTGTAAATGTAACATATTTACGTACCACTCAACAGAAGGAAACGGCAGGAACAGACGCAGGCAAACAGACCCTCTCTGACCTGCAGCACGCGGTCCCGTGTCTCCCGGGACCGGAAGCCTCGCAGCGCCAGGAAACACACAAGGTGCCAGTCGCTGCTCCCTCCCCGCAGCCCTGGGTCCCTACGCGATGGATGGCCTTTCACCAGAAGTTCTGATGCCCGAACCACCTCTTCAAAGTAACCCCCTCGATGTCGTCACCAAGACAGAAAATCCGTCTGTCCAAAATGGTTCACCTTCTGCTCTACTACCTCCTTCTAACCGAAGCATTAGGCCGCCGGCTACAGAATGCGACACGCCCTGACGACAGCAGCCTCGCCTAGAAACACCAAGAGCCCGCCCCGAAGACCACAAACGCAAAAGGGAACCAAAACTGCGCTCTGTCGCTCCCCAAACCCAAGAAAATACCACAAATTGGAAGCCACGCTCCAGAGCCGTGGGGGGGACCTACTTATGAATGTAGTCAATGAGTCTTCCCACTTCACGCTGCCTCTGTTCCGGAGTTAGTCTGGTATGGACAGCTAAGTCTTTCATCACGTTAAAATCGTTGCGCATCTTATCAGTTAGACCTTTAAACGAGACGTCGGAAGGCACAGGTTAGTGACAAGGGTCTAGTCTGTGAACGTCTGGGGTGCAGGGTGGTGAGGAGACGGGACAGGCAGCAGGAAGGGCTCCCGTGGAGGGGGGGGGCAGGCGTCTCGGCGAGGGTTTCAGGACTCCCCGAAGAGAACGGGGCAGCAAGCTGGGGGAGCCGGGGTGCAGCAGTACCTGTGAGATAGCAGAGCTCTGGGATGAGCATCGCGGGCCCCGGTAAGGTGCCCCCAGGGCCTCGCCTCCTCTTGGGCTGACTGACCAACACAGGCTGCTTCAGGTCCGTGATCTCTTGGTTGTATTGCTGGTCAAGAAAAGACGCCGTCACCGTTCACGGCAATGCCTCTGCTAACAGGTCGGAGGACCAAGGGGTTTTTGTTTTGTGTTTTGAGAACTGACGCCCACAGCAAGGCTGGTATCAGTTTCCAAGGAAAGCTAACAAGGTGCACTTTTTTTATGTTTTTATTTTTCATTTTTGAGACAGAGAGAGAGAGAGAGAGCATGTGCATGAGCGGGGGAGGGGCAGAGAGAGAGGGAGACACAGAATCTGACGCAGGCTCCAGGCTCTGAGCTGTCAGCCCAGAGCCCGACGTGGGGCTCGAACTCCCAGACTGCGAGATCATGACCCGAGCCGAGGTCAGACACTTAACCGACTGAGCCCCCAGGTGCCCCCTACAAGGCGCGTTTTTAATCCTACCAAAACGAGGTGTGATTTATGTGATCGCTCATCGTTCTTTCCAAGAACTTAAGAGCCTCACTGTCCCTGACTTTATCTAAACTCTGAGTTTTAGTCACAGTTCACTTCGTTTTGTGATTTCTTGGTCTACCAACAGGAGTCTGTATACCTCTGGGTCCTCACAACAATCCCCCCAAAACTACTAGTGTTACGGCAAGAAGCGTGGGGGAAACAAGTCTTGCTAGAACGATAAATGTGGGGGAGGAAGAGGTTGGCATGCCAGAGAACATCTTTAATTAGGAATAGTTTTTACCAAATGCTGACACTTGGTAGAAGCTGAACTTGCCCTCAGTGAGTAGCCTTCAGATTCCCCACATCAATCGCCAGGTTTTTACAACACAAAAAGAGACAAAAATGCTGACTTCCAGGGGTTAATGGAGGCGTGCGCTGGCCTGCGGGCCTCCAGCTCGGCCCTGCGGCCTCAGAACCACGGGACTGGCTTTGCACGACCTCACCAGGGTTTCTGGCCTGGTTTCCTAGAGACCCTCTTGGTGGCATCTCTCATACCCTCTCCTGGCATCTTTTGACACCCCGATTCATCGGGCTCTTTTTAAGAGAACCACACCTCTCTACTTGGCACACAGGACGTGAGCTTAATCAGCACGGCCGTTCCGTTGGCTCCCGTCTCTTACCAACACAGTAAGAACTACTTCCTGTTCCCTGTTCCCATCCCATGACAAGGTCCCGGCCACCCACCCTCGTGAATGAAGACCTTGAATCCCAGTCTGTTCTTGACTTTGTCCTGTACTGAACTCTTCAGCAACCATTCAGGAAGAAAGCTAATTTTCCTATTTCAGGGCAGAAAACGTCAGTGCTCTTATCTAACCTGTGCTCCGTGCACCTACACTACCGATTTTAGCGCTCTTTTTTAATTTATTTAGAGAGAGTGCACATCCGAGTGGGGGAGGGGCAGAGAGAGAGGAAGGCAGAGAGAGAGAGGAAGACAGAGAATCTCAGGCAGGCTCTGGGCTGTCCGTGCAGAGCCCAATGCAGGGCTCAAACCCACCCACGAGCTGCGAGATCATGACCTGAGCCAAGACCAAGGGTCGGACACTTAACTGCCTGAGCCCCCTGGCACCCCGCACCCCTGCTCACCGCCCCCGCCCTTCCGCCTCCCGTGTCTGTTACCTGGGTGCACCCACTGGGGGGGGGGTGTGGGAGTGGAGGCAGGTGTGTCCCTACTTCACTGAGGGCTCCTTATTGCAGAACCCCGGGACCTCCTCTCTATATTCTGCTCCTTATTGCAGAACCCTGGGACCCCCTCTCTATATTCGGGGCCCGAACAGAAGCTAAAAACTGACTGTGATCTTTCCTTTCAAAGGCCCTTCTCTCTCTGTGCTTCCTTAAATATGACCTTTGCTATAGAACATCCAAGCTATCACTTATCATTGAAACTGCCTCTCCACTGGGAAGTCCTAAGAATGCCTGGAATCCTTCCAACATTTCACCCTTACCCCGTTGTTAACTGTATAGCTAGCAGATACACCCAATGAGGCCTGGCTGTGACAGAAGTCTTCCAGAGGAAATCATCTGAGTGGAGACTGAGGCCTCAGAACACGAATGAGGCATGGAGAGCGTTCCAAGCAGGGGGAGCCCCAGGCTTAGAGGAGACAGCCAGGGTGACAGAGGTGAGGAAGGGCAAGCAGGCCAAGGCCGCATCGCTCAGGGGCTCACTGGATACAGACCAAGTGCACTTCAACAGGCCACGGGAGCAGGGGAAACCACTTATGTGCTGTGGGTAGAAAATAACATCCCATCTGTAGGAGTATGAAAATGGATCAGGAAGCAGGAGAAATGAAAACCGAGAGACCAGCGGAATGAGAGACAGCAGGGGCCTCCACAGGGAGGGCAGCCCCTCAGCAGGGGGAGGACAGAGCCATTTCCGGCAGGGAGATGACCAGGAACACAGCAAAGTAGGCAGGTGGTAGGTGGCATAGCTGTCCGCTGGCAGGAGGTTGTAACTGTCCGTCAGGCATGTGTTCATCCACTCAAATACCTCAGTGCCTATGCGGGCACAGGGGTGGGGGGGGAGGGGCACATAAACCACAAAATCCCTGCCCTTGAGGAAGTGACAGTCCCTGCAGTGACCCAGAGCGGGGCACAGGGGCCAGGTCATGGGACAGAACATGCTCAGCGCTGGTCACGTGGAAGGAGTCTTTAAGACTTGCAAACACTGAGAACCGGAAGGCTTAGACAGGTCTGGGCTGGAGCTGGAAACCGGAGAACTGTGAACGTAGTTAGGTCGGGGGTCGAGGCAGAGCCTCTAAGTATGCCACCGTGTAGAAGGCCACTTTCGGAGAAGGAGCTGCCACCTGAGACTCACTACCAGGCAGAGGAGGGGAGGACTTTCCTCTGACCTTCCTTCGGGTCTAAACCAAACTCTCCGCTGAGAACTCCTTCGTGTCTGCTGTTGACACGTACCAACCTTTCCCAACCCTGACAGGGATTACGAAACCACACAACGATGCCAACTCATTTCTCACGGTAGCCTCGAACGCCCGGAAGGAATCTAGGTTAAACACGGCCGGAGTCCTCAAGCAGTTAGAGGTTGAAAAGGGCAGTAGGGAAATCAAGCTGAGACGGCCCCTGGCCGGTTTTTCATCTTGCCCAAAATGAGAACAGCTCTTAACGCGACTTCACAGAGAATCCTCTCCCTCCAGAGCATCTGATCTTTTCATTCATAGCAGAGCAGCTGAAGGTCAGACAACAGTCGATAACCAGCAAGTAACAAGACACTTCAGGGTCACCAACCTGACGTATGATTCTGACATAAGATATAAATACACAACAAACAGCTCATCTGCCCAGCTTTTTAGGAAAAGGAAATAATGTACTGCAAGTAGAAAAAAGAAGATAAATCTTAGCACTTCAAAACCAAGTTTTAAAATTTTAAGTGCAGAGCGTTTCACAAACGCTTTTCCAGCACTTGTAACAGAGCATATGCAACCTTCTAAGGACTGAGGGGCCAGATCTGCCCCTCTCGGGACAGCAACGTTCGTGCGCGCTCCTGCATAAACACTGTGTTCTCTTCTAGTCCCAGCGGTTCTTTCTTGCCGCTGTTGTCAATTCAGCGATTACTCTGTATAAAACTAGCGTCGGAAGGTCCCATAGTCAAAGGACCTAGCCTGGATGATACAAGCTGGTCTGAGGTTGTCGATACGGGAGATGCAAGTTAAGAGTAACCCATAGGCAGATTCAGCTCATGCTGAAGACTCAGCCATCTTTAACCCCCATCCCTGGGTGAATCTAAAAAAGTGTCCACTGCAGAATATGGGTCAGAACAGTGAACTTCTGGTGTTCACTACCTATCATCCTGTTTGTCCTCCCCATGCTTAAATTCAAATGTCATCTTGTGTTCGGCTGGGAAAAAGGAAACGGGCCCAAGCACTTCTCATTGGATAACGAGTTCAAGTGAACTATGCTCCGACCGCCTTAACAAACACATTTCTACAGTTTTCAAAGCAATTTGTTCCATGTGTACGAGCGTTAGAAAATCCTAATGAGTACAGTTCAGATTTCCTCTAAGGCCTAAATACCACACGTTAAAAGATCAGGTCCACGGTGACCCCTTACCTTCCTATAGTACTCTAGGAAACTGATTTCAGAGCCGTCTGCTTTCTTGAAGGTGCTCTTTGGATTCTGGTCCCAGTCGATATCGTCTACTCTGTATGTTTTATTGTTATACCTATGAAATGATTGAGATTTACTGGTATTTGCTTGGAACATGTAGAGATATTAAAAAGAACCTAAATAGAGATAGTATGTAGTCCCTAAAAAATAAAGTTTCAAATAGCTTAGCGATATACAACGTCCTGCGGAGAAAAGGGAAATCTTCTTAAAGACCATGCTAGATGGGTGGGGAAGGGACTAAATCACTACCAGAAAACAAAGACTGACAAAGATAAAAGCCACCAGATACCCTTTCCAGACAACTGTACTCCCCGAGAACTCGTGTCTTGCGAAGGGTGACACACACCCCTCCCCATTTTCATGCTCTTCCCACCAGTCAACTGTAGACCCTGCTTTCTAACAGGATGGACCAGAAAGCCATGAGGTCTTAAGACTTGCAAAACGACTGCTGTGCATTTTTAAAAAAAGCCTTACTTGGTAAGAACAATTAAGCCTATCAGTTCTTTGGAAACTTGTTCTTGAAATTTATGCTCTTCTATTTGATGGTACAGGTTGAACATGAAATCTAACACGGTTTCACTCCGGAGGACTTTATGACTGACGTCGGTGCAAAGCATGATGTTATTTTCGTACTGGAGGATGGAAGTGGTAAAGCCAGGCCAGATCACCAACCTGTCAAGCAGAATGAAAATATGAAGTAACCTCTAACGCCCAAACATGGTCTGCACGTATCACGTTCTTTTTCTCCTGTCTCACCTGGGTCTAAAGTACAAAAGTTCCTGAAGTGAGTAAATTTTGTTATTTCTAGGTTTCACGTGGTTCCATATAGAGTCCCATCTTTTTAAGATCTCAACAACGAATGTTTTTTCATAATGTAATTTTTAAGTTCCATTTTGAACACACTCTGTTAAACTATTGCTGACGCTGGACTAAGCCTTAACAAAGTTGCCGATCTAACTAAAAGCACCTGTGATGACAAGCCTGACCCGTGTGGGCCGCACCTGAACACACGCCATACAAAGGAACTTCTGAAGCAATCTCCTGAGCTCGTAAGTTTGGTTACCCGAGACCAAATACAAATGCTGGACAGCTCTTTATGCTTCCCCAGTGACAGATGGAGAGCACGTGACGTCTTTAAAGCCGAGTAATCCGGGAGGTCTCTTTTATTATTCGGACCGAGTTGAAACTTCACGTACCAGGACGGGCACCGCTAACAGCCACCGTAGTCAATCTGATTGTCTCAAACTGGAGCACCCCTTTCCAAGTCCACGATTAAGCCCAAGGAATAGAAAGCTTCCGCCTTATACAAACCTGTGATTTGGAATATCAATTGGGTCACTTGGGTTATAATAATTCCGTCCAATTTGTTGTAAATTCATGATCTTCAAGAGCCTAGAAATTCAAAAGTCAGAACAGAGATGTGAATACTGACAAGCATCTCCAACACACAGGTCCTCACCGCACTGGTTTTTCAACTTTCCCCTTGATTTTTAATTTTTCTGTGTAGAGGGTTAGAAAACACTGACATACCTCCTGAAGATAATGTTATAGAACTGCAAACAAGTTGGTGATGTAGGTGGGAGCTCATTTGTTAAGGTGATCGTTATCCTCACTTGCTCTCCATTTCGGGTCTGACTAAATACTTCAGTAACCTGAAGCCGGAGCAGTGGAAAACCACACTTGTAATTATTAAAAGAAGTAAACCCAATCACATAATTCCTGCTAATAAGGCAACGACAGGACTACAGAACAGTTTGAAATTAAAAAAAAAAAAAAAAAAAAAGAAAAATGCTAGGAGAGGAAGAGTGGTTGCGGCCCGTGTTATAAATTCAATTGTGGGGCGCCTGGGGGGCTCCGTCGGTTAAGCATCTGACTTCGGCTCAGGTCATGATCTCACGGTCCGTGGGTCTGAGCCCCGCGTCGGGCTCTGTGCGGACAGCTCAGAGCCTGGAGCCCGCTGCGGATTCTGTGTCTCCCTCTCTCTTTGACCCTCCCCTGCTCACCCTCCTCTCTCAAAAATAAAAACGTTAAAAAAAGATTTATGAATGTAATTGTAATCAAGTTACTGGGTGGATCTGAAAATGAAACTGCCCAAGTCCCCCATGGGTTTATTACATGGAACATCAGACTGAAGGCCACTGGTGCTTCTCTAAAAGCTACCCTAGACTGTGGCAGTTCTGCTCTGAAGTGGGGAATCCTTCATCACCCTCTCCCCGACCCGACGTTTTCAAATAACCTTGTGCTGTAGTCTTTTAGGTAAAAATAATATTGTTCCATCAAAAGCATGACACCTTCCAATTAAATCTTCATGTTGAAACAGAAGAGCTGAGCGGAGTCTTCTGGCCTCCATCAGCGGGTTATAGTCAATGTGATACTGGTACAAGGCCCACTGGGGACGGGACGTCAGTCGAAAATGGTTAGTGCTCAGCCTTACTATAACACCTGAAGACCCTGCAAAAAAGGAAGTCGCATTTGATTAACAAAACAAGTTTCGTCTTCCCTGAACTCCTTCCTACTGTGGCAAACAGACACGGTTCTGCAAACACAAGGCTGGGAATAGTACAGGACACTAGAGTTCTCAGACATCTGACTTTGAGGACCACTGTCCTGTCCGGAGAAGTTCCTAAAAGCATACATTTAGGAGTAAATCCCCCTCAGACTAAGCAACGTACAACAGAACCAACCAAACCTATGGCAAAACCCTCTAAAAGAAAAACGTTATCTACATCACATGTAATAAAAGACTGCAATGCAGCTGAAGACCTCTAGAACTTATTTCGTCAGAGCAGAGAGAGAGGGGGAAGTGGAACAGCCACGTGGCACCCTGAATAGATGCAGATGCGCCTCTCCTCCCCAGGACCGCGTCACACATGGATGTGCAAAGTGCGGAGCCTCAATTCAGCGTCCTACGTACTTGAAACGTAATCTCGTGAACACTGTGTTCTTCATAATCGCTTACCTGTCTTTGATTCTCTAACGTGGTCTAGGTTCTGTCTTGTGTTAACACCAAGGTCATGAAAGTCTCTACGACGACCTCCCCTCTCTGCTAACGATAACTCCTGAAATCCAGCGGATATCTGGAGGTCTTAAAAAAAAAAAAAAAAAAAGAAGAAGAAATTATACACACAGTAACATGAAACACAAAATAAACGACAACAGCATCAACACCCCAAATGATGCCATATGAGACCCGAAAGCTACTGAGGTGCTAAAGATCACGTAGAAGGGTCCCGTCAGAGGGTTTTAGGTATCTCTGGCCATCACAACATCCTAGCTAGGACTTCTCCTATAAAGCCTTTCTCGCCGTGGCCTAGCCAAGCTCTGCCGCTCCCCCATACGACACACGTACCGTTAAAGGATTAAGACAACTGGACGGAGATTCAACAACTCAGGAGTACCTTTGTTGACTAGGAAGTTATTCTTCTCGAATCTAACTTCTGAACAACCTAAGGACCTTTTTATCAGTATTTTTCACAGCTTTATGATACAATTATAGCTACAGGAATTAGTGGTTTCTAGGTTTCAACGTGTAACCTGAAATAGAAAATACAGGTCTAAAGCATAATTTCCTCACTAATTCCTTGAACACCCAGCATAACAGATGGAACCTTGTGGTGCCTGTCCCATGGCCATCATGCACCTGTCCTTTTGGGACAGGTTAACTATCAGCTCATGCTTAGTTGCAAAAACTGCTTATAATATCCAAAATCATTAAAGCTTTCAATTTTTACAACATATGGAAGCAGCTCATATCACAGTATGATATGGGCCCAAGAACGAACACGGGCTTTGTGGTCGTGTGTTAGAATTCTAGCTTTCAGTTAATCGGCATGATACTTCATGTACTAGAGACTTCAGCCTTCCCAACCTCTCAGCCTTCTTTTTTAAAATACCTCACTTAGGGAACAATGTACCTAAAAGACTAGAATTCCACCTTATCTGCAGGCAAGGACGGCGGAGGAGACTTAAGCAGAAACTTCGGGGAAAGCACCTTGGGAGGAGAGCCAGTGGCTGGCGTTTACATTCTCTGTGCCCCTGCCTGCCAATCTTGCCTGGACTCTGGTCGTGATCACCAAATATATGTCTTAATGACAAGAAGTTGGCACAAAAGAACAAAGTGACTGAAGAGCCCAGTTTTCTTCTGGTGGCAAGTTCCAAATTCAGCACCCAACTGCCAACTTCTGGACTTCTCATTAGAGGACACAGCTTGAGCAAAATATCGGGTTCCTGAAACACCTTGGAAACCAGTTATTCTAACATCAGCTTCAACTTCTTTATGTGGAAAAGTGAGGAACTTTATGGGTATGTCGTATGTTTTAAGTGAGAATATGATTTATAAAACTCCTCATGGGTGTTGCTAAATATGTTGGTTATTGTACCTCACGATATTCAGGGGCCCTGTTTCAAAGTCCTTTAGGGGTGCCTGGGTGGCTCAGTCAGTGGAGCATCCAGGTTTCAATTTCAGCTCAGGTCATGATCTCACAGTTGGGACTGAACCCCGTGTCAGGCTCCCCGCTGACAGTGCGGAGCCTGCTTGGGATTCTCTTACTCTCTCTGTCCCTTTCCTGCTCTCATGTGCACGAGTGCTCTCTCTAATGAATACGCTTTTTTCTTAAAGATAAAAAATCCTTTAAATATTTAACTATTTTTGTCTCCTTTGGTGAATTTTTTATCCCCAAAACTTTCAAATTAGAGCATCCTCGGCACTGGGTGATTAACTGTATACTAACACAGGTCAACCGTACTGAATCCAACTTAGTAACAATGACAGGTCATAGCGGCTTTTTTCTCCTGAAAAAAATCTGAGTTTGTCTTAAAATTCCATTCCAGATACAAAAACCCAACTATAAGTTTCTGAATATAAATAATGAAGTCCATTCCCTCTCTACACACAGTATTGCTATCACATTTAGCAACAGCATAACTGTCAACCTGTAAAGAGAACAGGTTTCAGAAAGAATAAAACTGTAAACCTCGCTAATTGTTAACATACCTCATCTTATTGTGCTTTGCAGGTAGTTTTTACAATTGACGCCTTGTGGCAACCCTGCATCAAACAAGTCTGCTGGGGTCATTTCTCCAACATTTGCTCATTTCATTTCTGTGTCACGTTTCAGTAATTCTCACAACGTCTCAAACTTTTTCGCTATTGTATTTGTTACAGTGATTTGTGATCAGTAACTACAACTTGCTGAAAACTCAAATGATGGTTGGCACTTTTTAGCAGTATTTTCGAATTAGGTACATACACTGGACACAATGCTGTTGCACACTCAGCAGACTACAGCAGTGCGAACAGTTCTTCCATACACGCCGGCAGACCCAACGATTCACACGACTCGCCTTGTTCCAGCTGCTGTATTGCAGTGTGTGGAACCAGGCCTGCTGTATCTCTGAGGTCCACCTAGAACCTCCCCCTCCGAGCAGCTGCTCGAACGACTAAAACTACACGTTAGACCTCGCTACTCTTCTACTACAGAGTCCTTGGGAATGAAAATCAATAAACAAGGTTTATTGACAATAAACCTAACTTGTCACTTCAGTTTCTAAAACCTAGTAGATTCGTGAACATTTGGGGCAAGCAGTTCCCAGTGAAGTGAAATGACGACCCTCCCCAAAGCAGTGAAATGACATAATTTGTTATTCCAAGTACTATTTAATCCTCACAATGGTCCTTAAAGTTAGATGCTACCTTTCTAAAGATGGGAAACTGAGTTTCACAAAATTTAAGTTCATGCACAACGGTTAATGATTAATAACGGTCGATATAGAGCATGTTTAAGAAATTAACGTATTTCCCACAATCTTATTGTAATTTTAAGGCTGCAACAGTAGGGAAATGTTTTTGAAACAACTTTAGCAAATCTAGCTGTTGGCGAACACACTGACCATGTCAAGTACTCTAAGTTTCGAAGGAACAAAGGCATCAAAATTAGAAGAGGAAGTGACTGCCTAACACCCTATAAATTTAGAGAGATTAATGCCTATAAATGAATTCTCATCAGGCAGCTTAAAAAACAAAACATCACATATCAGAATAGTTAACAGGTAATTGGATACATAACAAAAGACCATTCCAGACTTCTCACTGACTCTTCAAATGTAGCACTATTTTTAATTTTTTAATGTTTATTTCTTTCTGAGACAGAGAGAGAGAGAGAAAGAAAGCGTGAGCAGGGGAGGAGCAGAGAGAGCGGGAGACACAGAATCTGAAGCAGGATCCACGCTCTGAGCTGTCAGCACAGAGCCTCATGCAGGGCTTGAACCCACAAACTGCAAGACCATGACCTGAGCCGAAGTCGGACGCTTAAACAACTGAGCCACCCGGGTGCCCCTCAAATGTAGCACTATTAACTGACATTTTCCCTCAAACGTTTCTGAACAAAAACACACACATACTCACGTATTCATTAAAAATTCGAAGATAACGCTGACTCACCACCCGATCCTGTCTGCCGTAGCCCAGGCGAGGGTCTACACCCCTGAGCGTGGTAACAAGGTGCCGTGCCGTTAGCGCGACAGTTCTATCCGACCCTTTGAGCAGGCATTCCCAGTGTGGGGCAGGGTGTGTGACGACGGCCCTTACATGGTCATGCGTCCCTGCCCCGGTCCGTCGGGTGCACTCCCAGGAGGGAACGTGCTAACGACAGGGCACTGTCACGGCTGCTACACGTTACAAAAGTCGGTACAACCGTACAACCCCTCAGGGAGGACAGTGCTGGCCTGACAACCACCAACGTCGGCAAAGCGGTAAGACAGAACAAGACAGGTAAACAAAACGTTCGTTTGATTTCACTTTCTCTCACGAGGCTTACTGTTTTCATTAGTCTTTGCGGTTCTCAGTGCACTGCCCTCCCCTTTCCTCTGCCCGCCTCCCTGCAGCCTGTCAGGCATCACGGGTTTTATAGGAGCGTTGTGTGGGCCACAGACCCAGTCCCACCATCACTTCCCCAAGTTTCCAGGCTTCTGACACGGACAGCGGCTGTCACGGCACCGTTTACGTGGCTCTGACACCACAGACTCATCCAGGGGCTCCTCTGACGTTCGCGGATCTCACTGGGTAGGACCAGACCTCTGGAGTACTTGGGGGCGTCGCCCACGGAGCAAAGCCGGGTACAAGCTTCGCCTCGTCACCAGCTGTCCCCACGCTAGTTCACGGAACAGCCCGTCTCCCGTGGCCACCCCGGCAGGAAAACTAGCGTCATTACATCAGGTCCCGCACGTACAGGGGAGCTTTTCCTACACTGAAACCAAACTTAACTGCTGAAGAATCTTACATCAAGCGCCCAAGTAATCCAGGTTTGTAACAAAGTAACAAAGAAGCACAATTTCTGGAATCAGAACTGGTGTTCTGACCTCACCAGCTGTCGCAACTTTGGCCCCCAGTTTCTGTGCCTGAGAAATGGGGGGGGGGCCAACACAACACATAAGACACCGTGTCCTGCAAAGCAAAGTCAGAAACGTTACAGGTGGTCTAGCTTTTGCTGAAATTACTAAAGATGCCCAAAGAACGTTCTAAGTGGCTAATCGGCGAAGCAGCAGACGTAGGATTGGTTCAGAACTACTTTGTGAGAGCCACTCTGGGGGCCTGGCGAGGACACGCTCTTTCGTTTCCAAGAAGGAGAGAAACCCCGTGGCGCCCAACACAGCCTGAGCGCGCCTGTCATACTTTAGAGGACTGTGGCTTTTCATCGTAAGGAGTCTGCACAGCGGCTGCCGTGCCAGGGCCACCGCGCGCGCGCGAAGTCTTTTGACCCTCCTTTCACCTTGTGACTTGGCCGGCGCTCCGCCTGCTCCTCTCTGTCGTCCGCGGCCAACTAACTCCCCCTCTGCTGCCGGCTGCTGAGGCC